GGCCTGGTTCCGGCGTGGCGAGGTGGGGCTGCGTTGCGCATAGGAATGTGCCAGCGCTGTCCCTAAGGCCCGCCGCGCAGGAGTCCGGCGTTCTCGGTTCCAGATGCTGCCAGTCTCGGGGAAGTCGGGAGGTATCAAGTAGCAAGGATTTTTCCCCCTAATGAGAGTATTTATCTAATCCCAAATTGTGGGCGAATTTTCTTAATGCTCAGCCCACAAAACCCCGGGATTAAGAGGAGAGAAAGAGAGAGAGAGGAGAGGGGAGAGGGAGGAGAGTAGAGAGGGAGCGGGACTGAGATGAAAGTTTCTTGAATGCTGCGCAGAGGATTGAGGCGGCGGTCGCTAGGCAAATTTCCAGGTGGGAAACGCTGGGCCAGAAGCCGCGACCATTCTAGCAAACGACGGCGGCGCGGGGAGGGGAAAGTGGAGACAGGTCTGGAGGAGGGGAAGGCGTCTCAGCTTAAAATCCATGACCCAGGCAGGGGCGAGGGACCTGGGCCCCGAGACCCGGATCCAGCATCCAGGTGACTTCGAGGCCAGACCAGACTCTGGAGGACAGTTGGGACAGGGGGAGGAGTTTTGATCCCGAGCCGAGGGTTCCTGGCCAGAGGCGAAAGTTGGGCACTGGCCTGGGTACTGTGTCCAAGCCAGCCTGCAGCCAACGTTTCTGCCCCCGCGCAACCCCCAGACCCAGTGTTTGATCCCACAGCGCGGGCTTTCGAGTTTCGGTCCCTTGGCGTGCTGGGTTCGCGCCTGCCCTTGGGAGCCTGCCCTTGGGAGCCCTGCGCAAAGTCGGGACCAGCACCCTGATCGCGGGTCTGACCTCGCTAGTCCCCGGGGTCCGCGCTCCACCGCCGCTGAGGGGCGTTCGGGCGCCGCGGAGCAGCCCAAATAGAAACCCCGTGAGCCTGGGGACTGAAGCAGGAGGGGCAAGAGGGTCGCACAGCTGCCCCCAACCACTCGAGCAAATGTGGGGCTAGGGAAGGTTTGTCACTTGGCTGGTCCGGCACGGCTTGGGGGCGGGGAAAAGTCGCCTTTCTGCGAGGCCCCTCAGAGGGGAAGTTTCCAGGAATCCAGCGTAAATAGGATGGGTGCCGTCCCCGCCAAGCCCCAGGCTGCTTGGGGCGGCCGGTTTCCGTCTGCGAGTGCCCAGGGGGTTAGAGCGGGTTCTGAGTTTTCCTCAGAGAGCAGCAGTTCGCTGTTTTGCTCGAATAAAGAGGGCAAATACTCGATTTCATTTAGTTCCATTAACTTTTTTTTATAACTTAAAAAATTCTTGTCATGAAAGAATTATACCTTGGCAAGTTTTTATCACCTTGAAAGACCGGCAATTAGAAGGAGCAGCATACTTTTAGAAGGAAATTTTGTGTGTGTGTGTGTGTGTGTGTGTGTTGGGGGGGAATGAAAGGGAGAGAAAAGGAAGGAAAGAGAGGAAGTGAGAGGGAGAGAGGAGAGAGAGATATGTCTAGGCTAAAGTGTAATTGCCAGTGTTTTCTCTTAAGTTTCAGGACTTGTTGAACGAGCTTTCTTTGTTTGGACACCCGTAGACGAGTGATGGAAACTACCATAGAATAGCCACTTTTTTTCTGTGGCGTAGAAATTCTTGTTAGAAGTTCTCTTTCTCTCATCTCATACATACAAACCCGCACACATTCCTCCCCCAATCCACCTTTTCCAACAATAACCTTCTTCCTTTCACTTCAGTACCCACAGACTTGCTGGTTATCCGAAGAAGAGTTCAGAGTTCTCTTTTATATGACTGAAAAACTGTAACAATTAAACAATGCAGAAAATTCATCATAATATTAGCATTTCTTCAGTGGTGTAGAATCACAAATTTCCTCAAATCTTCAACAGAGATGACCCCTTCCCTAAAGAGATAATAGTTTACACTCGTTAAGAATATGACTAATTAGTTTTCAATTTGCATTCGTGTGTCAGCAGGGCTGCTCGGAGATGGTGTAAACTTACTCAACTTCAAATACAGTGCAGTATCCTGCCTTTCGTTCCAGAGGGCCATTTTCCTCATGAAAAGTCTTAAACTTCCACCCAAGTTTTCATTGCAAGAAAAACAGCAGCAGCATTTAAGGTAAGAAAGTTTCTGCTTTTATTGAAAATTTATATACGACTCAGTATTGTAATAAATAAACATAACCATTTTCACAAAAATGACAGTACTATTATGCTAGAGAAGAAAATATTAATGGGGGATTTACTTGTACTGGCAAGACAGACTTTTATCAATACAGAATAAATATTAACAGCATTCTTGACCCAATGTCCGGACCCAATTAAATGTAGAAACCAAGCAAGATGTAATAAATAATTTTCCAGAGAAAAAGGTGGCGCATTCTCAGAAGATAAAATTGTCTTTGTAAACTGCTGCATATCAATGAGTCCTATCCTACAGCTCACCTTCAAACCACAGGACTTGTCTCAGGCTCCCATAGAGGGTCATCCTCAGAGGAAGGCAGAGAGCTCTATTATACTTACAGTGAAATGCAAAACAACTGCAGAAAATCCCACTGGTAATAGAACAGTTTATAAGTATATTGAATATGATCTAACTATGAAATTTAGGTAACAGAGTAAGTGGTACATATGGTAGGACTGGAAAAAATCATTCATGACATTTTTCTTATCCCCCAGTTGCCCCCCTCCCACTGTCATTATGCTATTACCACCAACAATAACAACAATAACAACAACAACAACAACAAGGTTTCAAATTTTTCCTCCCATCAAAAGAATAAGGGAAAACAATGAGGGAAGCATTTTTCTTTTTTTTTGAACTGTTTCTTGAACATCTCCAATACCAATCACTCACAAGGTGTCTGCAAATCTATTTCACATGATTTCAAAAACATGACTAGCTCATTCACACACACATACACTCACACACACTCCTAAAACTCTAAAACAGGACTGTTTTAGAGTTCTGTATATCATCTGGATAGGATGGCGGAAAATGGGTGGTGGTGGTGGTACAGAAGTATAATTCAGCCAAACAAAACGTTAAAAGTTTTAAATCAACGAGTTCGACTGTTTCTGGCCTGGGGACCCAAGAGTAAAATGTTGGGAGATTCTAGTCTGACGGCTACTGAAGAACACATTTCTCCTCTTTCTTGGCCATCTTGCCTTTGTTTTGCTCCAGAGTTCGCTCCAAATGCTCGTCTTCTTCTTCGGCCCTGGACGTCAGACAAACAGGAAACAAAATTATTTTTTCTTCGTGGGGGGCAGAGCAGCACTCCCCACTTGCCGGTATTTGGATCCCCAGCGGTAAAGGAATGGGTAGCACGGGGCTAGCAGGAAGCTGCCCCGCCCTTCCCTAGGCCTCTGGTTTGAACTTTCCGCAAACTTCTCGGCCCCTGGGCAGGCGGCCGCACCTGGACCCCAACCCCAAGATCCACTCACTGCTTCTCCTGCGCGTCCAGATCCCTGACAAGCGCGTCACGCTTGTTCACCAGGGCCACCAGCTCATCCAACAGGAGCTGCTCACGTCGCTTCTGGGCCTCGGTCTTCTGCCAGTCTGTAGGGAACAGGAGGCTAGTTACCACGGCAAGGCCTCCGCACCCCGGCTCCCTCCCTCCCCCTTCCCGCTTTTTTCCACTTTCCTTATATCTCTAAGCAAACTATGTTAATGGATCCACTAGCTAGTGTTTTCTATGGAGTCTGGCTGTTGTGGTGAGGGTGCCACCCCTAAAACTCCACTTTCTAAATATTTCCCGCACATAGAGATGGGTGCGGCAGGGTTGGAACCTGCTAGAGACCAGGTGTAAGCCGGTGGCCAGCGGGAGGTGCGCACCTGTATCCAGGCAAAGTGGGGGAGGGGAGCTGAAGGCCAGAGAGGTTGGCCCAGGGTGGTGGTGGGAGCTGGTAAACGAGGAGGCGGGAAACAGAGATGGGCGATAAAATCATTCTGAAAGGCTAGAGAATCTGCTTGAGAACCTACCCTCCTTCTCCACCCCCACTCTCACCTCAAACAGCCCATTCTTCGCTAATTTCCTCCTCGCTCTATTTTAGCAGTTGGATGTATCTCACACTGGGCGCCATATGCTTCACAATAACTTTAAAAGTAGTGAATCGGCTAATTAGCATTTTTCTTTGAAGTAAAAAATAAATTTGCTCTGCAATATTACACTGCAGCTCTCGATCGCATCACAGCCAGTTTTCTTTTGGAGACGTTTGCTTGGTAGTTTCAAATCAAAGCACTTTTGCAAAGGAAAAAAATAACATATTTCTTTTTGAAACCTCATGTTAAAGGTTGGAAAATCCGATGGGCAGTGATCTTTCCAAGGGTGGAGACCGTTTGCATGAAGGTTTTAGGCCCCAATAATATATTCCCTAATCTTTGCTAGTCTGATAATTAATTTCCTTAAGATGAGCAGCAGTTTCATTTAATAAAAACAGGACCGAATCGAACATTTAAAACACTTTTGAAACCAAAGCCAACTGCTCTGTGGCCAGACTGTGAGGGCTTGTAACTGTCAATCAATTCCCAGTCTACCCCGCCTCCCTCATTAGGAAGGTAAACAATGAAAAGAAGAAGTAGATGATGAGGCAGATAGCAGAACAAATGAGGACCTAGAGGGAAACAGGACACCAGCTTAAAAAAAAAAAAAAAAAATCGTGGCCACTGACTTTGCAGCCCCCTCCTCCCCCAACAAATGCACTTTCCAAAAAACAGAGAAGTGCAATCCTTTCGGGTTTCTCTCTTCTCTCTCCATTGCCCTGGGCAATCATGTTAAAACTCACATGGCTGGTGCTTATTCAGATAAACCTAACAATGCACACCGCTGGTTACCATGTGAATCTTCACAAACCACACAAGAATGTGCTGGTTCAAATCCCCCCCGACCCCCTCCAAAGCAAAATTTATTCAAGACAGCAAACTGCTCAGCAGCTTTATGAAAGCAAATGGTGCTAGAGGGAATTCTATCTTGTATTTACAAATTAAAAATTAGATGCATCATCATGCAATAAAGGTTAGAATAGCCGCAAAAAGCTAGAATAGTTTATTCAATTTGATCACTATTCCTTTCATTATAAGCTCAAACACATAAATATATAAAAATGAAACATGCCATATATTAATTATCTACATTAGATACAAAACATCACAAAATAAATACATTAAATAACGAATCATTATTATATTCTTATTTAAAAAGTGAAATATCCTATATAGCATGGAGAGAATAAAGAAACCATTATTTTGGAATCCTTTTTTCTGAGTGAAAGAATTCTAATAAGCAAAACTAAGAGAAGCCATATTTATCTCAAATTTACTCTCTTAAAATGCAACTAAAGATAGAAATGCTGTACAATTTTCTATCTGGTTTTTAAAATAATCTTATTCTAACCAGCAAGTAAATTAATAGACTCTCCAGGCTAGAAAGATCTTTAAGGTTATTTATTCTAAATCCAGATGATTGCAGTTCTAGAAATATTAATTCAGAAAAAACTATTAAATTTATAACAAAATTTTAACAAAATTTTATAATTATTAAATTTAGCATTGATGAATATTATTTAATTTTTAACCTCAAGAAATCATCCTGATTATAAGTTTAGATTTATAATTCTACTAAAACATTTTGATATCATCTTTACAACTAGGAAATAAACTTTCTCCACCATATGCAAAAAATATTATCAAATTGAAAATTTTAGAAATTTAAGAAAAAATAAAATTTAACAACAGGCACATACTCTTTTAAATTACTCCTATGAACTTGACCAGACACTTTCACAGCTTTAATTAATAACTTAAAATACCAGCACTTCTTTAACATTTGAAAAATTAGGATTTTTAACATATGGATAAAAAAGGAAACTTTTTTTAATCCATGAAGTATTTAAAAAAATCTTTAATCTTACCTTTTCCAAGCTCACTAATGACATTTCCCATTGGAATAAAAACGTTTTAAAATTAACAATATTTTGATGATTTGCATCATTTAAGAGTTAAATTTGACATCAGAATTTTAAGTATTCTAACACAAGTTTATAGGATTTTGCATATTAAATATGCTATTACTACATTAATATCTATTATGAAATATTAGTCAATTATACAGCAAATAGCTATTGCAGTGACCAGATTATACATTAGCCAAATTAGACATTTATGTATTTGCTTTCTCACAGTACAAATAAATTACATATATATGTACACATATACGCACACATACATATTATATATACTTGAATGCTAATTTTGGAAATTAAGAAAATTATTTTGCTCATTTCTTTGTAAAATATTACATTTAAAATTGGTCAAGATTTACACAAGATATTCACATGACTAAATTTAAAAAATCCACTTTTAAATAGCTACACCTAGACATGTCATGTTTTAAAAATCTGCAAGTAAGTTTCTGTGTTACCTGTTATGCATTTAAAAAAAAAGGATTACTCACCTATAACACCAGTCACAGCTAGCTAGCTGCACTGACTTTGGCTTGGACAGACTACAATGTGGGTTCTGATTAATTTAAAGATTCCAGTGTACTTTTGCTACAAAAGCCATATCCTCTCACAACAAATAGGATTAAGTTTTGATGCTGCATTTGAGCCAAAGTGTTGAAATAAAGAGATTCTGTTTATGTCCATCTGCACTGAGCTGTTTTGTTAATTTAAAAACTCTTTTTCATATATAGGGCCAATTATTCATTCCCCAATTCAGTTTACTTGCTGAAGTTGATAATTACCTTGAAAAAAGGCAAGAGAAATACCTATAAACACTTTAATAGAAAGGACCTAAAGTTCTTGTAGTAAACCTTCAACCTCGCCACTATAAATAAGCCTGGCACTTTGATGAAAATTAACACTAGTTTTGTAAAGAGCACATTGGGGGATTGCAGTCAAGTCTTATCTTTAGTTCCAGTCAACTAGCAATCCTGAAAGAGTTTGCATCATCATCAGAACAGGCCATTTGATAGGATTCTACTGCTGTACCTAATCAATCTATGGAAGACTGTGGCTGTGCTGTGTAACAAAGCTAAAATAGATTTACAAATGGGGTTTTAGGGGATAAGCTCCTCCACAGGATTACATATTGATTTTAAATATAAAAAGCTTATCATATAAACCATAACTACAAAAATAGTGAACCTATGCATAAATCCCTTTAGAAGAGCACCCACTTCAAACTCTAAGCCAAGAATAAATCAAGATGTACAAAATCCTAGAGAAGATCCATTTCTTGTGCAGAAAATGAACATACCACTTTCTGAAAGCCCACCCCAATGTGTTCAGAAATGAATTTATCTTTCCTGAGGGGGCATTAAATAATCTGGAACAACAACAACAACAAAAAAAAACTATAGGAAAAGTATCTAAAAGATGTTTGTTAGCTTGAGGGATCCTACAACTTAGCTCAGTAGAGTGAAACTCCTGCTATGAAAACACCTCAGGAAAAAAGGGTAAGAAATAGGCCAAAGTGATTATAGATTCTCAGAAGAATAAATGTATTGAATATTTTTTCTCTCAAACCAAGCTGTTAATATTTATTTTAGTGTACTATGGCTATTATATGCCTTCCACTTGATGAATAGTTTCAGCAGCAGATTTACTTGAAATGATTTTAATTTTTTTATTTATTAATTAAACTATCTATGGCTAATAAGAAGAAGAGATCAGGAAAGAAGAGAGAAATGAACTTTAAAACAAAGAAAACTTTAAAACAAACAAAACCAACTATTATTGACTATTCATGTTTTTCTGTGGTGTTTTAATACTCAAAAAGGCTATTGAATTGCTTGTGTGTCCATTCGAAGGGCTGGCTGAGAGGACACTGTCTTCACAGAGTTGATCTTCACAATGATCAGCACCTCTCTAAGAGCCCTGCCCACATCCTGCCCAGGCTAGTGGGACAGGCCTCTCTCTCCAAGAAAGTGTCTTTATTTGTAATCAACAGGCTGTTCCTTTCCTCAAGTCTCCCTTTTCCCTCAACCAGCAAAGGAAACTGGCAGAGAGATTCCAGGCACTGTCACATATGGGACAATGTAATTTA